GAACTTGTCAGGATGAATTAATTGCAAAATATACTACCTAGTAATTGACTTGACTGCTTCATAGACTTGTTTGTAAAATGAGAATTACACCTTTTTCCTAAGATTTGTATGTGAATTAAAGTAAATAATATGTAATCAAGCACTTGTGCACATTTATTCTTAAGTCTGAAATCTCCACGTTACCTTTAGCTCTGTTCTTTCTCTTACCCTTCTCTAAATCCCCATATATACTTAGTTAAAATTCTATAGACTTAAAATTCTATAATTTTAATTTTTTGAAGTGGCTCAAAATAGCTTCAGTTTTCCATTTCTATTAGATCTCTAGCATAGGTACTCACTTCTCTCAAATCTGTTTCAATAGCTCCTTTTGCTCCATGATTCATTTATTATTATTATTTTTTTTGTTCAACAGCATCATGCATCTACCATGTTCTAGGCACTGTGTGAGATGTAGATTGTACTGTGGTGAAAAAAAAGACAATGCCCTTGACCTCACTGAACTTCTTTTGTATTGGGGGTATTCGGCAACTTACACCTCTTTTATAGTAAATGCTTCCAAGAATAAGCCAGGGAGAAAACCCAATGGGCCTATTTTTCTTTGCCATAAGTCTCATCTACATACCTTACACATAAAGCTGAAGGAGTTTTCATCTTGGAAGCATAACTTCAAATCACTCCTTGCCTCAGAACCCCTCAGTGGTTCTTGATTGCCTTGTGCATGAATACCAACTCTTCTGCCTACTTTTAAGGTTCTAGATTGTCCCTAATGTAATATTCTGCTATTGTCTGAGGTTAAGTGGATTCCAGGTGCATTATAAACATTTCAGATCCTAGCAACACTTGTTACTGCCAATCCAAGGTCTTTCTCACTGCTTCTCCAGGTTGGGTTAGATACCTTCCTTTGTCCTCTTATAATATTGTTTATTATTACATTTCTTATACCATAATACCCCTTTCCTCCTCTTCTTTCCCAATATACTAAGTTGAGGCCTGTATCAAAAAAACCTCTGCCCTCCTATCATCAGCCTCTTTCCCCATTCCACCTAGGCCACACTTCACCAGGATCCTAAAAACGGGTGGAATCACTCGACTCCACCAGACTATCATGCTAAATATTCCAGTACATAACTTTTGAACCATTTGTGCACTGTGAAAATCACTCACATGAAATATCACATAAACTTTTCCTTCAGTCAAATCTGAACATCCTACTCATCTGACTTCTTGCTTCTCTAAGCGTTTCAGGGTGGGGGTGGGTTATGGAACTTTCTTTATGTGGTTCATCAGGCTCCTCTATATTCCCAACCTCTTTTCCACATGCATTTTGAGTTTCTTTCCTTAAAAGCAATCTGACTTTTCCCTGAAGAGTGCCACTGCAGTCCTCTTAAATGGTTGTCTTGTTGAACGAAAATGACAATTACAAAGAGACCAAATAAAAACCTTTTTCAGCCAGTAAATTCTGGTTTCATAATTTTATGAATTGCTTATTGTTAAGAGATTAGTGAAAGTGGCTGTGACAAAAGGGTGAAGAAGTCCACAGGAAGTGATGCTGCTACACTTTGTATTAAAGAATTCCTGGGAATAGTTCACAAGACTGAAAATGCAAAGATAAAATGTTGGAAGCTGATCTAAACTTAGAAAGCAGAATGACAATTTATCAATACAGAAGATTAAGTAATAGTATGAGAAGAGGCAAACACAGTTCACACTACTATTGGTAACTTTGTTTTCTTTGTTTTTTTTTTGTTTTGTTTTTGTTTTTGTTTTTTACAAAGAATAAAGACTAATTTTCCATGTTTCTAATTATGGCATACTAAATAAATTAGTTTTACAATTTAAAAAATTCCTGATATATTTCTATCTAGCAGTAAGAGAGTTTTTGATGTTTCAACAAAAGTTCTTAAGTGTCACTGAACAACTTTAATTTTTCTCTTTGATTATTAAGATCACCTTGCACGATTTCAACTTCCATATTCATTTTTGTAGTCCTGTTCTACCATGACAAGCTAGGACTGGCTGTATGCTAGTTTCTCAAGTCCTTAACCAACTCACATTCAATTGCCTTTTACTTCCTTTTACCCCTCTACACCTTGCTATCGCCAATATTAGTATGACCTCTGAAATCTTTATTTCAAGCAAGTTATTCTCATGCAATCATTTCCTGTCCTTTCAGCTCACTACCTCTAGTACCCTGAAGACAGCCACTCTTTAATCTTATTGAAATCACCAGTTCATTGGCTTTTGTCACCATTTATAGCCCTCTAATTTCCTTCCTTATTCAGCTTACATTTCATGGCTCATCATTATAATCACTCCTTTCGAAACACACTCCAATTTTTTTGTCTCTCTTCCTCACCTAGAAAACTCCTTCGTGAATGTACCCTGTTATCTGCTTTGTCCAAGCTGGAATCCAAGTAGCTAAACTTGACTGAGAACCTCACAAAGCCAGACTGACTAGTTTCACTTTAAATTCATGACCGCAAGTCTCAAGTAGGCAAAGCACTTGGCATCCTGGAAACTTTGCTTTCTTGCTCTCTGACACACTTTCTTCTTCCTCAAACCTTCTTATCTCTCTCCTTTACTCAACTGTCAACTGATTTTCCCTTTATATTTCATTAAGGAAAGAAAATATGTCAGAAATAAAAATCCTTCAAGTTTTCCATTCACCTGCTTGCAGCTGCAGCCACCTTCTGTCTTTCCTGTTAGAATGGGTGGATTCTGCTTCTCATCTAATACCTGTGCTCTGGGGCCCATTCCTTCTTGCTTTCTTACAAGCTGCCTTCCAGTAGCATTTCCTGTCTCTGCTCAATCATGGTTTTCCACCTTTGGACTCAGTCATTCTTGTTAGTATAACAACTGTCTTCCATCTTAAAAACATTACTACCACCTCTCCAGATACTCTCTTTCTCCATTACTTTTAATAATAAAACTTCACAGAAGAGTTGTCTATACTCTGGCTCCAATTCCTAGTCTCCCATTCCTCCCCTAATCTGCTTCAATTTAATTTCTGAAACTACCACTTTGCTGAAGTAGCTTGAAACAGTTAAGATAGTTAATTACCTTCAGGTTGTTAAATACAATGGCTACTTCTCTATAAACTTACTAACTTCTCCATTGAGAGAGGTGAGCAATTCCTTTTAAAAACACTCTCAGCCGGGCGCGGTGGCTCAAGCCTGTAATCCCAGCACTTTGGGAGGCCGAGGCGGGTGGATCACAAGGTGAAGAGATCGAGACCATCCTGGTCAACAAGGTGAAACCCCGTCTCTACTAAAAATACAAAAAAATCAACTGGGCATGGTGGTGCGTGCCTGTAATCCCAGCTACTCAGGAGGCTGAGGCAGGAGAATTGCCTGAACCCAGGAGGCGGAGGTTGCGGTGAGCCGAGATCGCGCCATTGCACTCCAGCCTGGGTAACAAGAGCGAAACTCCGTCTCAAAAAAAAACAAAACAAAAAACACTTTCTCCTTTCAGTTTACAGTACTTTACACTCAGTTTTCTTCTTTTTCCTTCTCTTACTTCCACAAGTTAAATGCCTTTGGACTTCTTGGTTTTGGGCCTTATTTTCACCTATTATCTGCATAATCTAAGTGGTCTCATTCAGTTTCATGTATTTTTCCCCCCTTATCACTGTATTTCCAGGGCCTAACTCAGGGTGTAACTTATTAAACAATAAGGCAGTATTTGATGAATGGTTTTTTATATCTCCATCATTTAACATAGTTCTCAGTTAATATTTGGCTTGCCATCAAGTATTTGTGGAATAATTGAATGGTCATTATTATTCTTACCATACAAATGAGGAAATGGAGGGTCAGAGATATTAAATAATTTACCTGTGGTCACACAGCTAATAAGTGGCACATCTGCGATTCAAACCAAAGTCTTAACTCTAAATCCTTGTTCTCTCCATTACATCATAGTACCTCCCTATGTATTTGGTCCTTAACTCCTAGAATCCATCTTCATTTACCTTATTCTTATGCCAAACTGGAATGACTGATGTAACTGAATATGTCTATTTTCCCCCCTCAGCCTGTTTTGGATTTGAAACCCATTGCACATCTACCTGTATCTTTCCTACCTGTCTTTAAAGCAGTTTTCAAATTCTATGTCAACCTTGAAATCTCCATTTTTTTAGTTGCTAGCAAACTCCATTTTTTCAGTTGCTGGTTGTCTTCCACCTAAACTGCCGTAAAGTACAATTATATCTTTGGACTATATTCTATTAGTGTTGAAGCTGCCTATAGGATCCCAATCTATACAGTGCGTCCTTAATATTTTTCCTTGCCTTGCACATTGGAAGACTGAATCAGTATTTGTTGACTCCGGAATAAATTTGCATTTGATCTTGTCAACCTAAATAACAGACAGGTTTGCCAAACATGACAAATTTATTTGAGAGTAGACATTGCAATGTGGAATAAGGTGCCATAGTAAACTACAGGTGTATTGAGGGAGGTAAAGGAAGACAAGGGGTTTACAAGAAAAAGTGAGGATTACCTAAGTTGTTTTGAAAGAATTATCCTTGGCTATAAAAATCAATAACAAAGGGGATACCAGTCCAAGATTGGGCAGAAAGTTGCTGTGCAAATGTCCTTAAAGCATTTTTTGTGTACCGTTTTGTGGCCTTTGTGCAAGGTTGTGGTTTTGGCAGTTTTTTGTGATAATTTTTTTTTTTTTGAGACGGAGTTTCGCTCTTGTTACCCAGGCTGGAGTGCAATGGCGCGATCTCGGCTCACCGCAACCTCCGCCTCCTGGGTTCAGGCAATTCTCCTGCCTCAGCGTCCTAAGTAGCTGGGATTACAGGCACGCGCCACCATGCCCAGCTAATTTTTTGTATTTTTAGTAGAGACGGGGTTTCACCATGTTGACCAGGATGGGCTCGATTTCTTGACCTCGTGATCCACCCACCCGCCTCCCAAAGTGCTGGGATTACAGGCTTGAGCCACCGCGCCCGGCCGACAATTCTCGATATCAAGCTATTATTAGTGAGAACCTACCCTTCATGGCTTTCCTTGACTCCATTTTGTGACAGCTTTCACAGTGTAGATAGCTGAAGAGATTTTTTTTTTTTTTTACGCTCAACTCTATCCTGAGAATCTGACTGAGGGTCCTGATGAATGAAAATAATTTAGCCGAAAGATGCAGTTTCCTCTTGGCAGATTCAGACAAGGAGTGCAGCGGCAGCTTACAGCTGCACGTGGCAGGATGAGGCTGTGGGGATGGCGCGGCCTCAGCCGAGAGAACGAAGCTCGATCAGTAAGGCCGGAAGGCCCGGCAAGTCGGTGGTGACCTCTGTGACCCGAGCAACTGAGGCAGGCTGGGCTGGGCGCGTTAACGACGGTGTTTGTCAACGTGACGCCCCAGAAATAATCCCTTTATCTTTCCGAACTTCTGTTGCCGAGTGTAGGCAACAATAACGAATGGAAAGCAAGCGGGATCGTACTTTACATCTGAGAACACTCTCTACCTTCCAGAGCAAGTCGTCTGCAGGCGCAGGTCATGGAGTCCGTGATGTCAGCTGCGGGCTGGCCCGGGCCCAGGCTCGGCTCCTCACTTTCCTGTTTTCAGTGCGGTCCTAGAGGAGCCCCGACGCGGCCCGAGATCAGTCACAAACGCAGCTGAAACGCACGGGCTCCCACGTTCTCCCGGGGGCACCTGTCAGGCCGGCCTTCGGGCGCCTCCCCGGCTCCCCGCGAACCGCGTCCCCGGCGGAGGCATCAACCACGCGGGAACGCGAGGCCGCGCGGGCCGCATCTCGGCGACCTCTTCCCGCCGCGCCTTCCCCGCAGCCCCCGGGGGCAGCGGCGCATGCCGGGGGAGGCGCGGCCGGGACAGGTGGCTCCGACGCTCTCTTCCGGCGCCGCCAGCGAGAGGGGCGGCCCGAGAACAAAGGCGGGCGAGGGGCGGCGACTGCGAGCGCGCAAAGGCGGAGGCCGGGCGCTGCCCGAGCGGCTTCCGGGGCACGGCGACCCCCGGCAGGGAGGGGGCGGGGCGGGGACCCCCGGAGGGGCGGGGCGGGCCAGGCGAGCGCGGCGGGGGCGCGGAGACGGGGAGGGAGCGAGGGTGACGCGCGGAGGGGCCGGGCCGGGGGCCGCGGGGAGGGGGCGGCTGCCAGTGCGCCGAGAGGCGAGGAGCCGGGCCGGGGCGGGCCGGAGGGCGGGCGGGAGGTGGGGCGCGCCGCGGGCTGGTGGGAGCCGCGGCCGAGTACGACGCCGGGCCGTGGGGAGCCGGGCGGCGCGGGGCTGAGGCAGCCGCGGGTCTGAGGGCGGCGGCGGGGCTGAGGGGCGGCGGGGCTGAGGGGCGGCGGGCGTGGAGGGAGCCGCGGGGCTGAGGCGGCGGCGGGCGTGGAGGGAGCCGCGGGGCTGAGGCGGCGGCGGGCGTGGAGGGAGCCGCGGGGCTGAGGCGGCGGCGGGCGTGGAGGGAGCCGCGGCGGCGGGGAGGCCAGCGGCCGAGCTGTGGGGGGCGGCGGCCGGGCGGGCCGGGCTGACGTGAGGAGCTCCGCCGCCGCCGGGCGTCCTCCATTCCGGCCCACATCCCCGCGCCCTCCCAGCCTCCGGCGCCCTCCCGCGCGGGCGGCGCGCTGGCGGCGGCCATGGCGGTGGCGGCGGCGCTGGCGGGCCGCGGGGCGCGCGGCGGCAGGGGCCGGCCCCCGGGCGGGCGGGCGGAGGGGGCGGGGCCGGGGCGGCGGGGGGCCCGCGCGGTGGCGGCGGCGGCGGCGGCAGCGGCGGCGGCGGCGGCCGGGACGAGGCGGAGGCGACGGCGGCGGCGGCGGCGCGGGGCGCTCGGGCTGATGGCGGCGGCGGCGGCCGGGCCCGGGGCGGCGCTGTCCCCGCGGCCGTGCGAAAGCGACCCGGCCACCCCCGGAGCGCAGTCCCCGAAGGTGAGGAAGCGGCCGGCGCGACCCGACCCCAACTCTGACCCCCTCCGGGGCCGCGGCGTCGCGGTCTCGGCCCGGTCCCACCGGCGGCCGGCCGGCGTCTCGGGGGCGTGGGCCGCGGGCCGTGCGCTGCTCCCGAGACCCGCGGTGGTCGGCGAGGCGGGGCCGGCAGAGGAGCCCACGGCCCCTAGCGAGCAACAAGTGCGGGCGGGCCGCGCGGCGCGGCTTCCCTGAAGTTGGCGGCCGGCCCCGTTTGACGAGGTTGCCCCCAAACGCCTCTTCCCGGGCCGGCTGCGGGACGGAACGCGCCCGGGGCGGCGAGACGTGTCCTCGGAGGGGCCTGCAGACGCGCGCGTTCTCTCGGCCTTCATTCCGTGCATAGTTCGCCGAAGTGTTTGAGAGCTTACTGCAAAAACATTGGCGAACGAAGTGGAAAATCAACACCGTTAGTGAACTTAGTGTAATTAAGTTAATACACAAGCGTCCGGATGTTTTCAGCGGAAGTCTTTTTTTTTTTTTTTAACTTTATATTGCTGTGAGGTGAAAAGAACTTGGTGTTTGTGGAGAAAATGGAGATGAGCAGTCGGTTGTCACGCATCAAAACGCTTTGGTTCTAAAGTTAGGCTAGCAGTTTGTGACAGAAGGTTGGAAGGGAGGAATGATGTTTTAAAAACCTCAGAGCTTGAAACTGGAAAGCTGAAATTAGAAGGCGGTGGGAACTGGAATGCTTCTTGGCCAGCGAGCCTTCGTACGGTGCGCGGTGTGGGCGCTGGCCGGGGAAGCCGTCCTAGGGCAGCCTAGCGGGGCTGCGCCTGCCTGAGGGCTTTTCCTATCGCGCAAGTCCATTGTGCCTTCAGAGAAAGACTCGTTTTGAAGGTTCCCGAAAGGATCCCGCCAATGGAAGTAACTAGATTGTAACACTCCAAATGCACATTCTTGCACTTCCAGCATTTGATGTCTGGCGCAGCATCTGGAGGGCACGGAGTCACTGAGCCAGTGCCCCCTGAGTGCATGCTTGACCCCTGAACCTTGGGAAGGATGTGATGCATAGAAACTCATCTAATCTGTAGTTGGAAACCACCTGTAACTCTGGAAAGCACATCTTTGGTTTATCTGAGAGTCTTTGAAAACACGGGCTTCTGGATCAGTATCCGGGTTGCAAGGAAATTCTTACCTTATTCCGTCATGTCTTGGGAACAACATTGCTGTTACTACCTCCCTCTAGAAAAGGGCCTGCTGCCCAGATGCTCACTTTATATAATAATGCCTTTGCCTAGAATTTATAGTAGTAATTTAAAACACTTTATGTATAAAATTGTGGTCTCAGCTTTTTTGAGCACTTCACATTTTTAACTTTCTTTTTATTTTTGTATATATTTGAGTGTCATAGTTTTTTAGCTAAAGGGAAATATGCTGCAGTTTAAGGATATAAAAATCCTTAAAATGCTCACAAAAAAGATTTAAAAAAATGGAATGTTTAAAATGAGTTATGTTGGAAGTACTGAATATGAAATGTTGCAGTTTTGATACTTACATGCAAATTTTCAGAGTAGATTTAGACTATGCAGAACTCTTTCATGAAATGCTTATTTTATAAGGTCTGAGAAAGAATATATATTTTACTATTTGGAAGAGAACCAGTAAATTTCTAGGAGCTAGGGACGTTTGAGACTTTATTATCATAATCATTTTAAATAATATTTATGAGATAATTATTTGCTAGTTCTTGTAAGTGCTTTTAATATAGTAGCTCATTTAATCATTGAATTAGCAATGTAATAGGGGCAATATTATAGTCTCAAATTTTCAGATTAGAAGATACTCAGAGAAAATAACCTCAGCTAGTGAGTGCCCATTGAGAACCCAGGCTGTCCAGGTTTGGCATGCCTTGCCACTATACCATATTGCCACTTTATATTCTTTTGCAGGTTTGCTTTCATTTTAATATGTAGCAAGAGGACCATGGTATTTAGTAAAATTGGATTAGAGTTAAAAACAGTATTATATTTTTTAAAAGTATCCTTTTTCTACCTTAAGCTGTGGCTAATATGTAAATAAATCAGTTTCCTAACGTCTGATACTTTTACTGAGTGAAATGGTTGAATTTATAACCTTGATGTTCTTGCCACATAATGGATTGCAATTAAAATCTATAAGCTTCTTAAAAAAATCCCCTCCCTCTCTCAACCCTCTTTTTGGTTTGTGTGTTGCTGTATTATAGATTGATGACCCTTATTAGGGTGTATTTTTGCTAAATTAATAGCAATGTAAGAAGAAAAGTGAATAGTTAGAATTGGTAACCTGTTTTCAGTCTTTTATATCCCCTTTTCACAGGGACATAAATGCCTAAAGTAGTCAAAATAGTCCTATAAACAGGCGCCAAGTTGAATTGCGAAATGTAAAAAGTCCATACATTTTTTCCCCCCAGCTTGGGTAGGAGAGTTTGCTTTAATCTTAGAGTGATGCAGCAGTTTTATATGTTTATGAAGAGCAGAAAGCATTTTAACCTCAGTTGGTGAGAAAGCAAAAGCAGATTTACATTTACAGGTTAATTGAAAATGTTCTTATTTTGATTGGATTGAAGATCAGTTTTAAATTTTATTCCAGGTCTTGCTCATGCCAAACTCTTGGTCCCTTTTAATTGTAATATGAAGTAAATACTTGTATGACTTGTCCTTAGACAGTCTTTCAGTTACTGAGACTTACTGTTCTTTTATTCTTTCTCTATTATTTCTGAATCTTTTAAATGTGTAGGATGATAATGAAGATAATTCAAATGATGGGACCCAGCCATCCAAAAGGAGGCGAATGGGCTCAGGAGATAGTTCCAGGAGTTGTGAAACTTCAAGTCAAGATCTCGGGTACTGTCATTTTACTGGTTATTAGTATTTTTTGTGATGTTTCTCTTTGCGATAACATCCTCTTCCCTTTCCCCCAGCTCTGGCAAAGACAATTATTAAAAATTGTAGAATATTTTCTTACTGTTTTATAATGTGCCACCAAAACTGGTCTTGATACTGAGTGTAATTAAAAAACAATTTTATTGTAGTAAAACACATAATACGTAAAATTAATCATTTTAACAATTTTTTAGTGTGCAGTTCATTGGCATCAGTTACGTTTGCAGTGTTGTGCAGCCGTTATCACCATCCATTTCCAAAATGTTTTCACTACCCTATCTATAATTTATAACCATTAAACAATAACTTCCCTTTCTCCCATTACCCAGCCCCTTGGAGCCATCATTCTACTTTCTATTTCCATAAATATGACTACTTAGTTACTTCTTATAAGTAGAACCATAAGAAGTGGAACCATAAAATATTTGTCCTTTTGTGACTGGCTTATTTCTCTTAGAACTTTTAATATCTTCAAAGTTCATCCTTGTAGCATATGTCAGAATTTTGTTCTGTTTTTAAGACTGAATAATATTCCATTTTATGTATATACTGCATTTTGTTTATCCATTTGGATGTTGATGGGAATTTGGGTTTCCACCTTCTAGCTAAGGTGAATAATGCTACAGTGAGCATTGGTCAGAGTTTGTGTTTTCAGTTTTTTTGAGAATGTGTATGTAGGAATGGAGTAGCTGGATTACATGGTAATCCTATGTTTAACTTTTTGAGAAACTGCCAAACTTTTCCATAGGGGTTGCACCAATTTACATTCCTACCAGCGATTCACAGTTTCCAGTTTCTTCATGTTTCTCACCAATTTGTTTTTCATTTTTCAAAATAATGGCTATTTTAAAAGGTGTGGAGGGATATTTTATTGTGATTTTGATTTGCGTTTCCATAATGCGTAGTATGTTGAACATCTTTTCGTCTGCTTCTTGGCCATTGTATATCTTCTTTGGAGACATGTCTATTCAAGTTCCTTGTCCGTTTTTCATTTG